TAAAAATAATATGGTGTTTTTTTTCTGAAGGTCAATGACTCATTCTTATTATTTTTTTTCTTTCTTTCAAAAGGTGTTTGATAACCTCTAAGATTTTTCTCTATTATCATTTTATCTCTTTTTTCGTGTTTTATTTTTTCTCCCATCGCGATTTGACCTCTCCTGACCTTTCTTGACCTCGAACGATGCAGACGCGACCTCTTCCCCTGGGCGCGCATGGACCTTTCGAATTTGCTTTTTTTCTCCTTTTTCTGAACCGAAACAACCAAGGAGAACCTGGCCTCTCTTTCCCTCACGCCCGCGCCCACTGAGATAGGAAGGGATCAATGGGCGTGAGGTCATTTTTATAGTCCAACCCAGAAGGCCTAGGTCAGGAACTGCTCGGTTGACCTGCTTTTTTTGTTTTTTTCTTGCTTTGAAAAAAAGAAGGAAAAATCTCACACCGAATCAAGCTCTGGTTTCATTGACCTTCGCGTCGTATAAAATATATATATATAAGAAAAAAATAATAAAATCTTAAAAAAAACTACACAATTCTTAAAAAATTCACATTACACCAAATTACATAAAAATCGTATGAAGTTCAGGGTGTGAACGATAAAAAAACAGCTTTACGAAACTTTACGAAATGTGTATTGAAATATTTCCTCCTTCGTCCGCATTCATATAACTTCCCCTGTTTTATGAATGGCGAACTGAGAGTTTTGTAAACCAAGTCATTCTTACGAAAAAGAAATATCTAAGTAAACGAAAAAAAAAAAAATTGCAACTGTATCTACATCATAGCAGGGTAAAGGTAGTACAAGAATCTAACATATATTTATACAGATTCGTTCTCGTTGTCTCGTGAAACAATATGAACAATTACTCACACTCTGCGCTAAGTGCCAAAGAGAAACACTCGCCTCTGTGGTATGATTGTTTATCCATTATCATATCTATATCCCGAAAAAAAGTCGAAGGAGTGAAAATGTTTCACTGCAAGATCAAAAAATAAAAATCCAAAGAAATACATTTTTTTTCTTTAGTTTGCCCGTCCCAACGCTGCCCCCTCTGTACGTTTTCTTTGACAAATGGCTCAGCGGGAGGGGGACTCGCGTGGAACTGCCGGCAGGATTTACTGTACGGTCGAAAAACCATACATACACACGAGAGTAAGGTACATTGTTGTATTCTTATTTTATTGATGATACAGCCACATAAAATGTATTCTAGACATTATGATTAAAGTGATTATCCTCTAATCAGTCTAATTTTGAAGAGCACACTAAGCAATATATAATATATATTTCAATAAATCCATACAGGGAATGTCAAAATGTAAACAAAGTTTGAGTATTCTATATCCTATGTTAATACGACTAATGTATTAGCAGTGCGAGATCTACCCTAGGTTTATTGTGCATTCGGAATGGAATCTTCACTGGAAAGTGCTGGAGGATATACTAGTCTAGTTTGCAAAATCAAAAACTGTCCGCTACTTGTTGCTTGAGCTATTTACCACCAAATTGCCGTCCGACTACGGATGAAATACGCGAGAACGAACGTCAACAAGGACTTTCTGTATAAGAAGGCGCTTTACAAGAGCTACAAAGTATAAAGATTGTACCCCTGGAGAATGTAGGAGTTGCAAGTATGGTATTATATGAAGGCAATCAGTAGCTATTATACACACGCTTCAGGTGTACAGAAACCCTTCAGTAGCTCTGGGTTTTATTATTATTATTTTTTTTTTTAGCTCTCTTCCTCTCTCTCGGATCACAGACTCCTTCCTCCTGGCCATCGGAGATACCATGACAGTGATATTGTAGGCTCAAATGTGTTTCACGTAGAGAAAAATGAACAACAAAACTTTGCAACGGAGGAGAAAGTACACATAGTATATAGGGTTCGGTGAAAGACAAGATTTTGAAAGCTGCTCGCCAGAAAGTAGGACTTCTGAGCGGCCGCGGGACAGCTGTGTGGTACACTGAAAGAATGATGGTTCAACAACGAGCGTTATGGGGCGCTGTTGACACGTGCTCTCAGAGTGTTCGCAACAACGCCGTTGCCGTGTCAGACGACAACAGATATTTGAAGAAACTCTTACTCTACTACCATTCTTCTTAGAAGTTATTAGTTATTTATATATATATTATCCTGGACTTGGGAGGTGAAAGTGTAGGTATTCCTCACTTGATCAAAAAATACTCGACGAAAAAAACGTTATTTTTTTTAAGACTGACACTAAAAAACAACACACATCTTTGAAGCTCATGTCCAAACAGACGACACGGAAAGGGGGGGGGGGGGAGTAAATGACCATAATGAAATACAGGCAGGCCTAAACTGACCAAGTTTCTCATAATATTTAGATCTTTTCTTTTTTTATTGGCTCGTGATAGCATCTCGTCAAAAGGAATATCTCTACTTTACTACATTCTTCTATTGCATATCTGATAAATACAATAAATGATTTACTTTATATATGTAGAAACTCCCAATATGTATATCAAACTGGACCACTACTCGATAAGATTTCAAACTACAATATCTATCAGTTTTATTAAATCTTCCGGGCAGACCTGTTTTGAATAGAAACAGTATTTATTTTTTTCATCTACTTTCACTACTTCAGGTTTGAGTTCATGAAAAGGTCACACGATCTGCATAGAAGATGATATTGTTTATATTTCAGTGTAATACTGTGATAGATGTACAGCGGGACCGGAGCTTCGAGACACCGATTCGTCAGGAGGTTCGGGAGGTCCTCGTGCAGCCTCCGTGAATGAAGCAAACACTCGAGTATTCGAACCTGGCGTTATTCGGACAGCGGGCAGCGACGTCGCCCGGCCTGTCACCGCACACAAGAATAACACATGGTGTCTGATGGGGGTATATGTCGCCTTGTTTTATTACTATTATTACTTTTCTCTCTCTCTCTCTTTTTCTACTTTCTTTCTTATTTGGAGGAAAATCTCTAAAATCCAAGTGTTTGTTGACGGGAGGTTGTATTACTAGGTATTTCTTTAGTGCTTTTATACTGATGGAATTGCTCGCTCGTGGGAGGAGCTGTCCGTGGCTTAGTGTGCTCTACCACGAGTTTCTTTAAGGTGTTCATTAGGCAACTTTAGGGGCGTGATAGTGCTGTAGTTCCCCTGACATTATACAGTGGTTTTGCTTATGGTTTAATTCTTACTTTATCTCGCTTGTTCTTGGTAACTTAAGAACTTGTATCATCTTCGTGATCTCAGCTGCTCACATTCGTTATTATGCTATGTAGGTATATATGATTATATCTAGATTTATATATATATGATGCTTTTAGTAAATGATAAAAAGCTTGCATAAGTATATTGATATTTTTAAGAGAATGCTAAGAAGAAACACATTCCTCAATTGTAGCTGATTATAGATTAAAGATTATTATTATTATTATCATTATTATTATTATTTTTCCTTTTTTTTCTCTCAGAAAGTTCCAGATAAACTCGTGGTCCCTAACACACACGATCTCCTACAATTGAGCTTTATCCAATTTTGTTTGGTGAATCCTATCTCAGAGTCAGCGAGGAGGCGTCCGAGCGCCCGGAGAGCGCCCGTGGCCCCGGCGACTGCGGCCGACGGCGAGCTCCGGGGGGACGCCCTCGCTCGACGGGGGGCGGGGGCGGTCGGGGCGGCGACGGGCCCCGACGCCCCGGCTGGGCTGGATCTAGTCGCCGCGCCCCTCGTCGCGCCCGCGAGGGGGGCACACTCACCCCCGTCGCCTGCCGCCGCCGCCGTGTCCTCCTCCTGCGGGGTGTGTCCGGGCGCCTCCCCCCAGGGCCTGTGAGGCTCGGCGGGCGTCGTCTGGCGGCGGCGGCGGCGGCGTCTTCTGCTGGGCCTTCTTAGTCCACGGTCTCGATGGCGACAGTGGTCTCCGCCTCCTTCTTGGTGGGGCTGGGGGTCTTGGCGCCGCCCGCGCCCGCCACCGAGCCCGTGGCGGAGACGGCGGACAGCGCGCTCCCCCGCCTTCCTGCAACACCAACTGTACTTTACTCAGTCAGCCCTAACGTTGCAGTGTCTCCTCTGCCTTGCAAGCTCGCTAGCGTTCTACTTGGCCCTGGGCGGCCGCCTGCGCTCGGCTGGTGCCTTCACTCCTACACTGATCTCTTATATAACACTTCCAATCTATATGTCATTGTTATATCATGTGGAATGCACCTTATATAAGTCTATAGTTTTACTCTAACTCTGAAGAAAAAATGTGGTTAGTATTAATCCTAAGAAATTTGGTCTGCATGATTTTTATTTATTGAAGAGTAAGAGAAAACTACCAACTAGCTAAAATGACTGAATTGAAAGTCCCATCAGAGTGTGACTGCACAAGTAATCATGCATTAGTATTTAAAGAACTATCTACAGTACTTTTGTATTTAAGAGTCCTAGGTAAAGTAACTGTATATAATAGAAAAATAAACTATTTCAAATAGGTAATTTGTACTAGTCCTATACATATACATAATATATATATAATATATATATACAACATATCAACTAGGAAATATTAAGTTGTCTGCGCCAGGTTATCTTGGTTACGCTAAAAAAAGTCCTTGCAAAATCACACATGCCACCGAGTTCAAACATCATTTATCATGACTTTTTTTTTTTGGATTGTATGCTGATAGTAGAGTTACATTAGCGTGCGTCCAATGTAATTCTATACCATTGGGCATAACAACAGTCTCACCCAACAAACCTCTCTACCAATGGGAAACTTACGCTTCCTCAGGGAACAGCGCTGGAAGCCACTAAACCACACTAAACTCGTGACTAGCGTAGAGTCCCAACTCACGTACAAGCGTGTCTGAGTCCTTCTGACCAACGCAGTGTGTGGTCTGATGGGCAGCGGTTGGCACTCAGGGCTAGAGAATAAGTACCCACGTTAAGGCCCCCAGATGTCAGTCTCTCTCTCGCCCGCGGGGGGAGAGGTTCGAGCCGGTCCCCCTCCGTCACTCCGCTCTTCTCTCTGACTCTTTCAA